AAGCTGAAATCATCTTTTTTGCGTAAGATTTTGATTCCATCCGAACCTTATTCTCAACTTCTAGATGTAAGTCAAGATATAAAGCAGACTTTCCTGTGTCTATTATACCCTATATTTCAAGATTGATGGGATAAATGCGTTCAACATAGTATTCAAACTTTTAATTATGTATTGGGAGGACATCATCGATATAGCGGAACGTGAATTTAAGGAATAATGCTATCTCCATCTCATTCTTTCCAAGAAGCTCTCCTACGAAGTTAGCTCGCATGCATAAAGAAGATGAGTACAGTTAGTTCCAATGAGAATACCGATTTTATATTTTCTAAAAAAACAACTCGTCCTTTAAACGTTCCAAATATGTTGTCAAGCTAGAGATCAAACATTTTGTTAATGTCAATTTCAGAGAATTTGTTGTTTGAATGAAGGATTTTTTACATGTGTAAAGGGTAGACAAGTCAAATGTTTTAAAACTATTGCATGAGGAAAGAGATTTTAGTTTATGTACGATAACATATCTTAGGATTTATTTAGTATCCACGTCTGATTCACGCCGCCCCTAGAATAGTTAGTTGCAGAATTAGTTTGAAGCCCGGCGTTGATTGCTGATCACTTGATGTTGACAATTTAGAAAGAGTCTTCGTGGAGCACTTGGAAGACCCAGTAATATAACGTTGTTTATAAGGACAGTTATGTGATTTTGGTAATCAAAAACAGTGATGTAAGATCCCGTTGACAACTATGTTGATCTATGTTTTATTGAAAACAGAAAAGCCTGTTCATAAACTTGATTGGTTGCATGGTTGTTGCTATTTGACGTCCAGTGGACAATATTACATATATTTGCAGGACAAAAACAAATTACCACTACACAAATGATAGTTGTCCAAAAATTAGGTCGACCATGATTAATTAGATTAGCAAGACTATAAATGGGAAGAGAAGGTATTCTGAATAGGGACAGACTTTGATCGTGAAAGAGGACTCCTTTGGAACCCTCAAAGAGTTTTAACTTTTTGCATCAACACGTAGCACACAATGAAAAAATGAAATACGCACATGTCAAAAAAATTAACTAAAGCCGTATGAGTACGATTAGACCTACTGTGCTGTATGCCGCGATGAATTTTATCAAACTTTAACAATTTAAAGAGTCAAAATGTTTCATTTAGATCATTCCAACATTGAAATCTATACTCCTATTGTTCAAGGTAAGGTTGCACGTATTCAATTAATTTTTGCAGTGGTTGAAATATTCTTCAGCTAAATATAATTTAAACATGTTAAAGAAACAGATTTGATTCAAAACAGTGTTTGGTGACCATATTCATTCTAACATTTATTTTAGATGAAGATGGTTTTATCAAAATACATTGGTTTATGAAATGAAGATAATTACAATTGAAATAATACCTTTTCTGCTGCTAGTCTCATGAAATCTTCAGTTTCTGCATCTCCATATATGGTGGGTACAGTTAACACAAATGGCAAATCATCATTAACTAGTTCTTGACGTCCTAAACGTCTATTTATGTTGAACTTGTTAATTACTTTATCCTTTAAAGATCTGATTATAAGAATTAACACAATGATTGTGTCCTTGTGTTTACCCGTATAGTCTGTTATCTGTGTGGTTCTAGTAATCCCTGTAAAATAACTTAATTTTATAATAATTTCTTAACGGTAAAGTGATGTTTATCTGATAACATTTTAAATTCATTGTTACTTACATTAAAAAAGCCCATTGTACGTTATATGAATTTGTCAAACATGTACGATGTTTCAATTGATAAAAATAAAACACTACGGGAATATGTAAAGGCAAAAGGCAAAGTAACAGTGCTTTCATCAAAAAATCATAGACTGGAACCAAGATAAAAATTAAACAGATAAAAACAGAGAAAGACAGTCATATATTTATATTGAAATCAATATCGCGGCAATAAAACAATAAACAGGTTTAGTTTGTCAATAGATTTTGGAGCGCAATCATGATTTGATTGACCGTTATTTGATCTATAAATACTTTACTCGTCACTGATGACACCGAATTTAATCAATGACAGGGATTCCGCATATCTTTACAGTTGTTAGACATTTGACGAATGCCACAGATAGAGCAACATTTTGTCCACCCTTTGGGTAGACCTGTGTTTATAAATGGTGATCGTGTGATTTATATTTATCATATTTGTGGTATTGTGAGGACTGTTTTGCTTTTCGTCATTTTTTTTATACAAATCAGAGACTGTAGCTGCAATATAATTTCTTTGAAAAAGAAATGACCTGTATGATCATCATCCATACATAGATCTGCGAATTGCCTTTCAGCGTCAAAACCAAGGCTTAAAACTTCTTTTTTTGCGATCTAGTAAGATGGCAGTTGGGACCTTTTTTGCAGCCCGATCACCGGAACAAAGACTCTCAAAATATCTATAAGGGACTGCGTACTTTAGCTTATTTTGCAAAAATTTTGGAATTTTTGGGTCCTCAATGCTCTTCAACTTCGTACTTTATTTAATCTTTTTAACTTTTTTTATTCGAGCGTCACTGATGAGTCTTTTGTAGACGAAACGCGCGTCTGGCGCAAATACAAAATTTCAATCCTGGTATTTATGATGAGTTTATTTATTGTTCGATTAAGTCCTAGTCTAATGCCTTCTATCGCTGAAAAAAAACTTGAATGTATACCTAGTAGATATAAATGAAAGTTGAAGAAAAATTACTGTGAGTACACATGTGACGAACGTTGAGAAAAATTTGCTTAGCCTCCAGGTGCACCATTGATAACCCAAGGTTTTTTGGTGAGGTTCATGTTGATCAGTCTTTGTTTTCTATGTTGTGTTTTGTATGCTGTTGTTTGTTTTGTCGTTTAATGGCTATGGCGATGTCAGCATTTCTTCGACTAATGAGTTTAAAAACCACTTTGGTACCTACCGCCTCTGTTTTAGCAATATTTCTTTAAGAATCGTTGGTACTAGTTTCCCGAAAGATACGTAAATCACTAACTCGTCGTTTGTCTGATGAAGGTAAATCAAGTAAAGCGCTTCGGACGCATGAAATTTACAACGTGTTTTTTTTAATTTTTTTTGCACACACTGATGCATCTTAAGTCGTTAATTAAATCACCATGAATTAAAAAAAAAAAATCACCAACAAAATAATTGAAACAAAACTTGTGTCTCTTTAAATCTCTTTAACATTCTGACTAATAATCATGCAAACACTATTACTACCGAAATATATAAGTAACCTATAAAATATACAACATCTAACAGATTTTACAGTAACAATTTTAACAGAACACATTCCTTGTTGTCAGTGTAAACCAACAGTCAGTAACTACACGTTTCAATAAATTTCATTGATCAAACCGAAATGGAAATATTATTTCATTTTCCTTTGAGTGGCTTTAAACAAAGACTAAAGCTAAAGGACATAAATTGTCGTTTTAAAATATATTGTCTGTAATATAAATGACCTTTTAGCCATTTGTTTTAAATTATTTTTAAATGTGAAGTCATACAATTGTTTACACGCAAATCCATAATTCGAAACCAAAAAAAAAAAATTATATATTATGTATATGTATTAGATGTAAGCTTCTCATAGCTGAGGGGTGTTAGCCCCGATAATATGAATCGGTTACACCTGATTTACATAGAAGTAATAAATAAATATTTTATCTGTTCTCTTGTTCTAAATAGACCAATTAGTTTTGATAAAACAGGAAACGTGTCATTATCTCAAATGTTTCCAAATGCAGTAATACATTTTCAGAAAATGTTTTGTAATTATGGATTTAGAATGAAATCTTAATTGGGTCTATTTTTCTGTCATCAACAACTGCTTTTGTATGGCAATATCAATCACTGTACTATCTTGTCTTTTTCTGGTTTAATTGCAAAAATCTGAACTTTTTGCTGATAAATGATACAAAATCTATGTAAATGTATGTATAAATAAGGAGATGCGGTACCCAAAAACATAATATGTTCATCAGTGTTCATGTGACAATAACTGGGATCCAGCATCCAACATATATACTTTGAAAAATTACTTTTACTATAAAAACCACTCGTTGCTGACACAGTTTTGAATCATTATCATGTTTGTAATCAGTCGAAACATTGAAGCATGTTAAGTAAATTTAAAAAAAATCATTTTTACAACAGCAGTTATTTAAAATTGCACAATAAGTGTTTTCAGAGAGAAAAAAAACTCTTACTTTTTCGCATTTTCTTCAATAGAACTTCTATTAGACGAACATGTTCTCAATTGTTTGCTTTATAAACATTGATTTTTTTAAACGGTTTTAGAAATATCTTATTATATTTGTCAACTCTGATTTCACTTTGGAGGAAAAACGGCGTCTATATTTCTTTCTAACACTTTTATTAATTCATATCTTTAAAATTTTACACAATATTTTTAACCAATCCTTGTTTAATTTAGATTTTTAAACTGAAATATTTAAAAGTTGCATACACAGCACTTAAATCAATACTGCATCCAAAGCACAGTTGACTCAATTTGTTTTTTTCATGTATAATTGGAAAAGATGGGACGCATCACTTTTCCTGAAATAGGTTTTCAAACAGTTCCATGCATCCTGACACGAAAGTCCTTATAACGATTCTGTTCCAGTGGTATATTCCTAGCTTAGCCAGCTTTCAAGAATATAAGATTATATCATTTTGACGACGCTGAACATATTATTCTTTGTAAATTTACATTTAACATCAGGGTAATTGAATTTTAGTTATGTTAAAATATCATAAATTAATTAAGACGACAAACAACGAACGAATATTTAAAAAAAGGGTGTGTCGTCAGGGTAAGCGTTACGCTGCACCAACCATACGGATCCTTTACATTCCGGAAAAAAGGACATAACCGGTAAAATAACAGATCTGTGTATTTAATAAATAAGCATGCATCTATAAATGGACTTTATTTTCAAACCTGTTAACCAGAGCAGAACATTACTGAGAATAACATCAACACAAGCGGAAAGATAAAAGTAGACAGAACACCAAAAGTTAGTATTTACTTAAAATATATAGATATAAGAAGATGTGGTATAAGTGCCAATGTTTGTTTGAACAATTTTGGATCATACCTTTTTAGACGAAAAACAATAATCACTTATATCTACGTAATTCGAATTTTGGTGTATAATTGTCTCATTTACAATCATGCTCATTCTTCTTATTAATAAATAGAATGAAATGAAAGCAACACGTTATAAATTTCATGTTTTCGAAGTGCTTTTCCAGATTAACCTTCACCATTAACGATCAAAGCCGAATATTTGAAAGCCACGGATGTATAAGAACCGAAACAGTTGAAGAGCTGTACGACAACAAAAGACCTGAAAAAATAGCCAAATTCATCTAAGGTTAACTTTGCCTGAGGGAGTTGAAACCTGAGTTTCTTTATAACTTCAAAATTTATAAACGAAATGTTTGTTACTGAGCTGATGGTAACCTCGGGGACTGATAGTCCACCAGCAGAGAAAAATATAAAAACTACTAAACACAGTTATGTCTTTTTCATATTTGTTTATGTGAGCGACCGAATTATACTGAATGATATGCTGTCTTACGTTTTTTTGAACGCTTTATGCTATTGAAATTATCACTGCAGATTTGATGACTCGACATTGTATTTTCGTGAAAAAAACATAAACCTACTGATAATATCTGTAGTATACATATGTTTGTATCTAGTATCAGACCACGTTGTTTAAAGTTTATTTGTTTGTCTTAAATTTTTTCAATTCTTTGGGAAGATTTTGTAAAATCCCACATCTCCACAAGCAAATATCTTGACACCAAATTTCAATGAGAGGGCGTTTCTTTTTGTAAATTTCAAACGTACTTATCAAGCCCCATGTTTTTCGAAAGAACCGTAGGTGATACAAGCAGCTTTTATTCAATTTTTACTGTCATGGATTAATTCCATGTAACAAAGGCAATCTTTGGCCTGTTTCATATTTTTAATTTCTGATATTGTTCTGAATTTTGCACCTCAGTAATATTAATATTATCTTTCATGTTATGTCAATTGATGGGTGTCTTTGTTGGACTTCTTAGTAACTGCTCAACTAGGAATTAATAGGAATATTATTTTGAAATGTGTTCTGTTTAAATATTCAAATTTTAAATTATCAGTCAACATAGTAATGAGTGCAGTCGTATATTTAAAATGTCATATACAATGAATAGTTCAACCCTATCAAGTACTTGGAATAAGAAAACGATGAATGTAAATAGGAAGAAAGGTGCATAATGCAAAACACCTCCAAAAACTTATTACATTTTGTACTGATTAGATGAATGATTAACTTCTCGCTGATGAAATATGAAACCCAATTCATGTTATTGGATTTCGGTTACAATTATAATTATTGATCTTTATTCCTTCATTTAACCTATTATGACCTACGTTGAAATTAACATTAGAAGGAGAGTGACTGAGCAAACTATATAAAGTTATTTTAACTAAATTACAAGAAAAATGTATTGCAATACAATTACTTAACATTACTCATAGTCAAGATCACGTCATTCATTTAAAAGAAAAAACCCAACGCGTTTGGTTTAAATTAATGGTAATTAATCACCCAGTTCATTTATTAGATTTTAGTTAAGGTCAACTAAATGTATACGATATATTTGGTTTACAGTTTGATTTAGAAGAAACACCGACATAGCTAGATAATACAATTAATTATCTAATAACTACCACAATTTAATATTAATTAGTATTGTAATTTTCATTGTTATTAATAAATGTTATATGAGTATTACAAACCTAATCTTGAATTCCATCCTAAATCTATCCTATTTTGGGGAATTTTTAGAAATTCAAATGTGACGTCACTTTGTGCGTTGATCTCTTTGGCTAACTCGGCTGTGAATTTTTATGTGCTGGTTTCTGTTGTTTTATGTATCTGTTTTTATTCTGTAGTTAGTCACCACTCCGGCGTTATCATGTATATCTATTATATAGTCATTTTTATAAATTTAATGTTTGCAAAAGTATGAATTATTCTAAATAATAAGGATGTTCTTATCCCAGACAGAAAACCTTAGCCGTATTAGGCACAACATTTTAGAACTTTTGATCCTCAATGCTCTTCAACTTTGTACTTGTTTTGGCTTTTGATTTTTTTTTGATCTGAGCGTCACTGGTAAGTCTTGTGTGGACGAAACGCGTGTCTTGCGTATTAAATTTTAAACCTGGTACCTTTTGTTAGCTATTATTCGTATGTTTCTCTGTCCTATATGTTCTCCCATTTATTTGTATTGTAGTCCTGTCATGTAATGTTGTCATTTTAATGTTATATTTAGCATTGTCATAAAAGCGGGAGGTTTGGCTAGCCACAAAACCAGGTTCAATCCACCATTTTTTTCTAAAAATGTCCTGTACCAAGTCAGGAAAATGGCCATTGTTATATTATAGTTCGTTTCTGTGTGTGTTACATTCTAATGTTTCTGTTGTGTCGTAGTTCTCCTCTTATATTTGATGTGTTTCCCTCAGTTTTAGTTTGTAACCCGGATTTGTTTTTTTCTCAATCGATTTATGAATTTCGAACAGTGGTATACTACTGTTGCCTTATTTAAATAAATACCGTGGGTAAAATTCACATTTGTTTTGAGATTATTCTAACCTCAATGATTTAAATAAATAGTATGATTGACATCTTTTAAAGATTTTGTAAAAATGCAGAACTATGTCAAAAGATAACAGTTTGGGGATGGAGTTTCCTCCAGTAGCCCTGACTTGTGTACTTATAATTCAATAACATTTAAAAATACATATTCAAACAGTAATTTTCAACGAAATACAAACTAGTTTAAATTACCTATTCATCAACAATTAAACGTTTTTTAACCAAAATTATTACACTACCACGAATTATGTCACCTTCATACGATACAAATAGGAAGTGGTTTCACAATACAATAATAACAACTTACCGTAAATTTTTATACGGATCATTGTGCCTATTCATCAACGTACCCGTTTGCTTTGCATTGATCATTGAATATCTATATTAATCCAAGGAGCGTTTCTTTATTTGGTCTTGTTTATACCAACTGTTTCGAAGAAGAGCGTGTAAATACCTATATATAGCTAGTAGAAGATTAAAAACCACACGTAAGACTGTATAATATAACTCACTTATGTTTTCAATTTTGGTAAATAAGGCGTTAATTAGCAATTGATGTGAGAAAAAAAGTCACACGGTATAGCAATCTCATATGCAGCTTATTCCAATTTTCAAGGTGCTCTGATTTTTACTTCCTGACAAAGCTGTTTCGACAATATGCATGCTTTGCTATTATTACGTCCAATGACATTCTGTCAAGAATATAATATCAGCATGTCAAACTGCTTGAATGTTATAATATATTAATGAAAGTCAAATATTAAGCACGATTAGGATTTTTCTGCACAGATATAATATAAAAAGTTACGTTCGTCAAAGTTATGACAAAAAGAAAGAAAGAAATATGCGACATTGCTTCTTTTCGGCTTTTCGGCTGGGTTATACACAAGCTCACTATATATTTTCTGTATGACCTTAAACAATATGGTAAGTCACAATCTTACTGTGACCATGATACAATAGCATTTAAAATCATTTTTCTGTAAGCCTTGTTTATATTTTTACAAGTTATAACAATAATATAGCATTTGACACATATGTTTTTCCTAACGTCCTTATAACACAGTAAAGTAAAGAGAATTTTCTGAAATAATGAAATTATAATAAAAAAAACTCCATGAACGGAAAAATGAAGACATTAATGTAATAAATGATGTCAGTTGGGAGGCACTTACCACTCAACCAATTGTACTCTTGGGATGAACAGCTATTTAAACAGCGTAGTGCTAATCAAAATATATGCAATTCAGTTTACTTATTGTCACCATTGTGTATTTTCTATTGACGACGTCTAAATTTGTCATCCCATACTCTATTCGGTCAATTCATATGAATCCTGTATACTTAGATATTTATAGGTTAGAATTATTAAAATGAAATAATATTTGAAAGCATTTTTGTTGAAGTTATTTTCAAAACTTGTGTATTTATCGCAAATATTTCATAACATTTGACTTATTTGAATAATCTTAACATCCCCATTGAGTTAAATAGAAAACACGTCTGATTGACACCACTGTATTGTAGTTGTGTCACAACTAACTTACAATGTCACTTCTCAGTAACGGCACTACTTAGAATCCAATTATGTTTTAGGTTTATTCGGTCAAAATATACAATAATTGTATACACACACAATAATGGATATTGTTCAAGGTTTTATTAATGGAAATTTAAACCGATCAAAATACTCAACAAAATATGATTATAAAAACGTACTGTAAATTTCTATATGAGTCACTATTCCTATTCATATGCAATACAATGAATCACTATTTAAGCATATTGATGCTTATTGGACGTCATATTTTATATAAAAAAAAAAATAGCTTGTGCTACTTGTAAAATGCAATATATATTTGTTCCTGAAAGGTAAATTAAAATTCAAGAAGTTAAATCACAATAGAAAGACTTGTAATATCACAGTGAAGTTTACGTATTAACGGACGAGGAAGTACTGTATGGTTCTGATTAAAATGTGATTGTTTTCACTATTTTGATTAAAATTTTCTCAAAAACATTGATATATTTTGGTTTACTAGTATCCTAATTTGAAAAAGAAAGACATAGAAGTACTTTATTTTGAATAAATTATCTTATTATCATTATCAAATTTTCTCTTCCGCAACTTAACATAACATAACATAAGCAACACGACGGGTGCCACATGTGGAGCAGGATCTACATACCCTTCCGGAGCACCTGAGATCACCCACAGTTTTTGGTGGGGTTCGTGTTGCTTAGTCTTTAGTTTTCTATGTTGTGTCATCTGTACTATTATTTGTCTGTTTGTCTTTTTATTTTTGGCCATGGCGTTGTCAGTTTGTTTTCGATCTATGAGTTTGACTGTCCCTCTGGTA